CCGCAGCCTTTGGCCAAGACTGCGGAGAACGATTGCCCTAAACCTTCAACCCTAAACCCTGCACCCCTTAATTAATCTAAGCATGCCCCTGGAGCCCTAAGGCCGACAGGCATTCACCATAGAAGAATATGAGAATCGTGCATCTTTGCTTTTGACCAAGACGGGCCGTCGCTCTAACCTTCGGGAACGTGTGCTGAAGCATTGCTTCAGGCCCTCCAGCGTTTGCTGCTGCAGCCCCGGCAAAGGAGAAGCGTGTAAAGTCGTGAAGTTAAGAATCCCTGAGTTTTCGGTGTTGGATCTTCGGGTTTTGGGGCAAGCGGCTTGTGCCCTACACCCCCCAAAAGACTCGTGAAGTCTCACAGACGGGGAAGCCCCTTAGCCCCAGAAGGGTTTCTGGGGTTCTAGAAGGGTATACGTAGGGTTCATCGTCTCAGGGTGTCGCTGTTAGGCTTATAGCTGTACTGGGCTTAGCCGTTAAACCTTTGTGGTCTGAGGGGAATAGTGTATAGAGTTTAGGTCTTGGCGTCTAGAAGATATGTATAAATGAAAAGATGCAAACAAATAAGTTCATACGCAAATGATTAAGTAAGTGAATAGCAAATGAACGAATAAGTAGATGAGTATACAGAATGTATATGTATATATGTGTGAGTATGTATGTATATGCACACACACATATATATATATACATATACATACACATATACATATATATACACATATGTATATATATATATACATATACACATACACATATACACATATACACATATACACATATACATATATACATATATGCATATATGCATATATACATATATACATATATTTATATATGTATGTATGTATGTATGTATGTATGTATGTATGTGTATCTGTACATGTTTATATGTCTATGTGTTTGTCTACTGTGTGTTTATGTATTTTGGGGTATAGGGTTCACGGTTGGGATGCCCCCCCCCCAGACATGTTAGCTAAGGGTCATACCTCGACGTAATCATCATAAGAATACAGAATAGTAAGGAAGATGCCATGCATAGTCAGAAGTCGAAAAGACATAGTCTTCATGATACAGGTATTGACAAGAAGAAGAGGCCAACTATGAAAAAGAGTACTCCTTGCTACAGGGATCCCTGCACGCTTGAACTAAGGAGTTTAGGGGTTCAGGGTGTAGGGCTGTTAGCCCCGAAGAAGCAAACTCTTTGCGTCTTTGGCTACACTCCTTTGCACCGGAGTGTTCGGGCTTTTTGAGTAGAGCCTTAACACCGAAAGAAGCTCGCAACTTGTCCTAAACCCGAAACTCCAAACACCAAGCCCTAAACTCTCAACCCTAAACCCTAAACCCTAAACCCTAAACCCAAAGAGAAGGACCGGAGGCTGGTGGAAAGTATGGAGACCTTGCCGCGATCCCAGCTTCATGAAGGTTTATCTTGGGATTCGCTTTTGAAGGTTTTAGGGGTTTAGGATTTCGTAGGTCTTAGGGGTTCTTTTAAAGGGTTTGGGGGTAGAGTTACCTAGAATGTAGCATTTATAGGTTTTGTTTTTGTATGAGGGCTAAACTGAGGGTTCTTTTGGGTGGCCTTCAATTCAAGATCCTGGTATGTGGGGTTGCGAGCTTATGCTAGGGGTCCATATCTTCTGAAACATCCATTTGATTTATCGGTCGTCTTGTGTCTATATGGTTGCTATGTGTGGGTATAGATGTTATACATAAATACGCACACACAAACACATGTGCATACGGTTTGCAGGGGTATTATGTATAGATAGATATATATATATATGGAGAGATAGATAGATACTCCAGATTCACCAAGCTTCCAAATTAACCCTTTCTTTGAGCCCTAACTGGTATAGGTCTCTTGGAGGCAGGTGGAGGGCTGATGGTTGCGAGTGGTTTAGATCTGCCTGAACCCTTCGCCACAGGAGTCCAGGTTGAGGCTCTAGGTTCGTTGGCTTGCTATACAGGTTCTACAGCAGTTTATAGGGTTTTTCCTTCGGGTTCTAGAGGGTTTTGACGGGTGTTTGTAAGTTCTGGCATCTAGTGAATCTAGTGCCTTGCGAGGAAGTGATGTTGGGTTTCGAGGATGACTAGAGTGTGGGCCAAAAGTCTGCCACGGCGCCTTCTCGTTTGTGCACCACGTTTCACCTGCTACGCGGGTTTGCAGGGTTTTGTACTGGAGCTGCGAGGGATTTTAAGGGATCGCTGCAGTTTTTATTGTCTTTGCAAGGCCTCTAAATCTAAATGGGTGTATACGGTGTTGAAAAGGTTTCTTCAGGCTTTAAAAGGTTTTTACGGTGTTGAATCGGGTTCCAATAGTTTTATAGTTTCCTCCTGCGAACAGATTCTCGAGCATACTTACCACCATCAGCAACAGCCCCAGCCTAAACCCTAAACCCTAAACCCCAGCCCCTCCACCTCCTTGGTCGGCCTGCAGTGGTGAAGGCTAGAGATCGGTCTTGGGCCTCCGTGGGTTTTAGGGTTTAGGGTTTGGGGTTTAAGGTTTAGGGCTTGGGGTTTAGGGTTTAGGGTCTGGGGTTTGGGGTTTAGGGTTTAGGGTTGGGTGATTTAGGGTTTACGGTTTAGGGCCCTAAACCCTAAACTCTGGGCCCTCGAAGCGCGAAACCATCCTAAACCTTGAGCGTTGAGGCGCGTGGCAGGTTTTCGGCTTGCTAGATGGAAGTACCCAGCACAACTTCCTGTTAGTAATGGTTGTCATCATAAATCCAGTTCTTACTCGCACGATGATGATGATGATGATGCTGATGCTGATGATGACGGGTTACCATTGCTCCTTCAAGTATCTGGAAAGCCGAGGTGGTCTTCAGTGATTGGGACACTGCAGAGAGTGTGGCGCTCTTACGTTTCCTGTGTGAGGTTTGTGGGCCTAGAGCTGTGTAGCTCCTGGTATGTAGGATAGATTCGGATAGATAGCTTCAGGCTTCCGCTGAGTCCGATTGATTCTGGATTCTTCTGTCAGTGAGAACGCTTACATCGTTTCCGGCTGGAGGAGAGGCAGGGGGAGGAGAAACTTTGGCATTACCATTATGATTGTGGTTACTACGAGTTTCACGAACCCCCAAACCCATGGCGTCTAATCCCATCAGACCCAATTAAATTCAGACCTCCTCAGCTAGTCCGCTCACATCTCAAGCCCTGAACAGCTGCAATCCTGAAACCCAGACGCTGTTCTCTCTGCCAATCCGAACGACGATGTATCTGACAACCCGAAGCCCGGACCCTCGATCCACAAGAAAAGCCATGAAATCCAAGAGTTTTTTGCAAGAGCTGGCATGCAGGTCCCCGGTTTCACGGATGGACCGAGGCTGGGAGGGTTACCTGAAGCAGCAGACGACGTAGCAACTGGGGTTCGCGTCGGCTGTTCTGAGGCTTCTGCTGTGGTTTTGCAGAAGCAGACACGATGAGACACACGTGCCACAAACATGTGTACGCACACATGTGCGTCTGTGTGCATACATACATACATACATACATACATACATACATAATTACATACATACATACATACATACATACATACATACATATATATATATACTTATTTATATTTATGTATATATATATATGCTATATATGGTAAAACCCCCCCCCCGCCCCCCGCAACAAAAAAAACAACAAAATGTTTTTTGCACCTTGTCTGCATCGAGTTCTTCGTCACAGGCCTTGGCAGCAGGAACTTGCCCGAATAAGAGAATAAGCTCGAATAAGACCTTGTTAGGGCCAGGATCCAAGATCCAAGAGTCTCAGGAGCAAATCTTGGATCCAAGAGCAAGCGAATACGCCTGAATAAGACCTTATTCGGGCCAGGATCCAAGATCCAAGACGGCCCCACGGAACCAAGAACCAAGAAGCAAGATTCCCAGAAGACTTCTTGAGCCAATCTTGGTTCAGAGGTTTGGGCTCGTGTTAACAAACACGGGCCGTGCTAATTAACAAGGCCCCACGGAACCAAGAACCAAGACTCCCAGAAAACTTTTTTGGGACAATCTTGGTTCCCAGACTTGGCCCTGTGATAATTAGCACGGCCCGTGGTTTTCTGGGAGTCTTGGTTCTTGGTTCCGTGGGTCCGTGTTAATTGACACGGCCTGTGTTAGTTAACGCGAACCCAAGCCTGGGAACCAAGATTGTCCCAAAGAAGTTTTCTGGGAGTCTTGGTTCTTGGTTCCGTGGGGCCGTGTTAATTAACACGGCCCGTGTTTGTTCACACGGGCCCAAGCCTGGGAACCAAGATTGGCCCACAAAGTTGTTCCTCGGCCCGGCGCACTAACACGGGCCTTATAAGGGCGGCTGTTGGCCTTACGCCGGCTTGTTTATATACTGAGGTGGGTACTGCTATCTCGATCGCAGGTCGATGCGACTATCAGAAGAGCAGTAAGCTGCCACTCGCGAGGAGGTTGTGCTGTGGGCGGCCATCGTCACCTTCCGAAAAATATCACACGATCAGCAAGCTGCCACTAGCGGGGAGGTGCGTGGTAGATGAAGGTGGATGGCAGCATTGTGTTGTGGGATGTTGTGGGCGGCCATCGTGACCTTCCGAAAAAGCACGAGAAGTAAGCTGCCACTAGCGGGGAGGTGCAATGGTAGATGAAGGTGGATGGCAGCATTGTGCTGTGGGTGGCCATCGTGACCTTCCGAAAAATCACGAGATAAGAAGGCTGCCACTAGCGGGGAGGTGCAGTGGTAGACGAAGGTGGATGGCAGCATTGTGCTGCGGGCGGCCATCGCGATATTTCCATCTACCCATGCTGACTGTGTCACTCGCGCTGGCCTTTCTCAGCACGCTGTGATCGGCTTGTAGTGGCTGAAGCCCCTGCCCGCCTCACATACGGAGCATGGCCTTACCCATGCGCATGGCCGGTGTGATGGTGGTTCACCAAGGTGCCGCATACCTCCGCGTAGCTCCGGAAGCTGCCGCTGCGGCGGCTGCACCACAAGGCCCAGACCTTGACACGACAAAGCCACCACCTCAAACAACATCATGAGGAATGTGAGCAGCGAACTCATCGTTCTCCACAACGCTCGCCGTGGCGTCACATCGGACGAACACCGCAGCAACATCACCACCGTCCAGCGAACCTTGGGCCTGTCCGTGGGTGTTCTCAAGGGAGGCTGGAACAAACAAGCGGAGCATCGCCTGCTCGAGCTCTTGCGGAAAGCCAAGCGCATTCGGAACAAAGTTCCAGCCCTCATGGACGCAGAACAGGTCGAAGTAGCTCCAGAACCAGCGCACCAGGCCTGGGAGGACGACCCCATCGAGGACTGCAATGCCCCCGAGGAGAAGAAGGAGCAGCAGGTGAAGGTGGAAGAGCAGAAATAGCAGAACATGCCTGAGTCATCTTCATCATCCTCATCCTCGAACCCAGAAAGCTCGACGGAAAAGGTGTCGCTCTCGGACTACGAGCGCATCCAGACGGCCCTGGATGAAGCAGTGGCCGAGACCAATGAGTACCGGCAGAACATCTACTACGAGGACATTATCATCAAGGAGTTGGAAGAAGAACTGCTGGTGATCACAAGCTCGCATAGTACGAGTCGGAGGAGGACACAGACTAGTGAGTAGACCGAGGTGACCATCAGGCGGTCTGTGTAAGTCCAAGGCGTGTAATTATGAGCTTTCATTATTGAGCCTAAAAGCATCTAGTGTGCGTGTTGCAGGCGGCAATTAAATCGGGAAAGAAACCCCTGTCTGATTCTTGGTATGTTTATGTGGTTTGGATCAGCCAAGGTGTCCCGACTGCAAGCAGATGCCGCGTCCTGGAAGGGATTTGGGTTGAGGGTTTGGGTTGTATGTTTTCATAAGGTGCGATAACCATAAGCGCAATACGGGGCGTTTGCCGGCTGAAGGCTTAGAATTTGATCTTTAGCATTTGGGGGTCTGGGGGCTTCCTAAAAGGGTTGCAGGTTGGAAGCCTTGATTCTATTGGTTTTAGCAATGAAAACCTAACAAAGGTTTTTTTTTGGGCGGGGGGGCATAATGTGTATGTATATATATATACAGTATACATACGTGTGTGTACATACATACATACGTACATACATACTTATGTATGCATGCAGCTGCATGTGCGTATGTGCATGCATGTACAGAGACATATACATCGATATACATACCGACAGATAGATAGTCAGACAGACAGACAGACGGACAGACAGACAGAAAGACAGACAGACAGACCGACAGACAGACAAAGACAGGTAGATGTATGTGTACACAGACATGTACATATATACACAAATACACATGTAGATGTCTGTATATATACACACCTGGGTATGTGTTCAGGTGTATAGATGTAGATGTAGATGTAGATGTAGATGTGTAAGCCTGTGCTTGGGTACACCTACCTGCACCTGGACCTACTTGACTTGCACCTGGACCGCCAGGCATCTTGAGACCTTAGGGTTTAGGGTTTTAGGGGTTTAGGGTTTAGGGTTTAGGGGATTTTGGGTCAGGGCTGAGAGCATGGAGCGTTGAAACACCGAACTCACCAAACCGCCAGGCCCTGAAACGCCCGCACCCGTTAGGGCTAGAAAGCGACCAGTGCCCTCTGTCGAAGTCTTATGGATTGGGGTTGAGAGTGCTGCTTTTGTTGAGTCTTCCCGAAACCCCAACTTTCCTCGATGTTTCTGATGCCGACTGCATGGCAGGCTCTCCGGACCGTCAGAGGCCTGCGGATGGAACAGAGATTGTGACGATCAATGCCTGTCTTAGTGTGGTTGCCGTACCGATGGCGTTAGTAAGGTTAATGACGACGGCCAGGATGATGATGATGGTTTCAGGGCATTTCAGGGCGGTTCAAACTATAGCTATCGCCTTCGTCGTAATCGCAGAAGCAATGGGGCTGGCAGTAACGGTGTCTGTGCCCGCAGCTCTGTAGGCGCTGCCCTCTGGGGCCGAAGCCAAGAATTGTGAGCTCTTTTGTTGTCATTGCCCGGTTTTGAGTCACGGTTGAAGGTTTAGGGTTTAGGGTTAAGGGCAGTCCTTATTCTATGGAGTAAGAGGATCGGGTTTCCTGATTTTTTGGAGCAGTGGCAAGGCGCGGAGCTCAGAGTACGGCCCGGATGATCTGGAGGAGCCTTCGGCGGCAAGAGAGGCCGCAGGGCTTTGGGTTTAAGGCTCAAGGGGTTTAGGGCTTAGGGCTTAAGGGTTAAAGGGTCAAGGGGTTTAGGGTTAAAGGGTTAAGGGGTTTAGGGCTTAGGGTTTGGGGTTTAAGGTTGAAGGATTAAGGCTTTTTTGGCTACGTGGCTTGGGGTTTCGGAACTGCAGCTTGGGGCTTCCATGTGGCATCGCTTCGGAGCAATCTGTGAAACCATGCTACAGGAGTTCTGAAGTTTGAAGAGCATACCCATAGTTGACGGAGCAATCAATGGCTAGAAGATAAGTGGGCATGGTTTACCGGTTAGCGCAAAGACGATGACAATAAGGCGGCGGGTTTGGGTTTGCAGGGGCACTTTCGGTGAGACAAGAAGAGGACGATAAATACTGGCCCTCCTCTAGGAAGTGTTAAAAGAGGGTTTAGGGCAACTTGCAAGCCGACTCTGCACATTCCGAAAGTTCTAAGCAGCACTAGGGCTTGGGCGCAAAAGCCTCACAGCAGAAGCAGAAGCAACCCCGCAGAGTTGTTGAACCACAAGGTCTGTTAAAAAGAAATACAGCAATTCGCCCTCCGATGAATCGTTGAGCCTCAGCATGTCGTCATCCTCCTCTGAGAGGTTTTGGGTGGTTTGGGATGGTTTGTGGATTTGGGGTGCTACTGCATGTCTCTCTGTTGGAGATTAGGGTTTGCACTTTCAGGGCTTGAGGGCTTTGGGGTTAGAATCTACAGTATTCCTGTGTCATGTCGCACGGCGCGAGTTTGCACCCAATCCACCCTCCCGGTTCCCCGAAATGTAAAAACCCTTAGAGGGTGCTTATTGGTTCTCAAATAGAGCATAATAGGGTCCACTTTACAGGGCACCCTATGATAGAACCCCATAGTACCCTTTAAAGGATCCCTGACAGCAGGTGGTACAGCTACGGGAGCTCATGAAGAACTTCGTGCAAGAAATGGTGCGCTGCTCTCGGGGCTAAGATGACTGTTGATTTAGAGGTCTCGATATTTAGTATTAAACCTTCCTTCCAGTCCTGTCATGTCCCTATTTTACTGTACTAGAACATGCCGCCGAACTCCTTTCCACATAACTAAGCCCGCTAAGTTAGGTTTCGAGCTGTTGTGGGTTTCGACCTCCGACATTGGGTTTATTTGTTGTTGTCTGCAAAGAATTTGAAGCCTTAAACCCAACCCCCTGTTTTCCAAACTTGTCCTTGGCGTCTGTGAGCCCTGTGAGCTCGGTTTAGGGTTCGGTTTTTGGGTTTTCGAGTTTAGTGACCCTAAGACAGCGGAAACAGGTGGTCGGGCGAGATGTCACCATCGTCGTGGAGGCAATTGCACAGCGCACGTGGGACGTTTGATCTTTTCTCTGGTCCCTACATGTAGGTCACGCGACCAGTCGTATGTGTACGTGCAGTTTTGTAAGCATGCTTGCATGTAATGCGTGCATGCATGGACGGAGGGATGGGTGTAGGTATGTGTGTCTGTGTGTAAGCCTGTGTGTAAATATGTTTACAGATGTTTATGCGTTTTAAACCGTTAAATGTGCACATCGTTTTTTCCACTCTGGTCTTGGTCGCAAGCCAGTAAGAGATGGGAATGAAAAAGCACAGAGCATATAGGTATAAGATATGCAGGTATCCCTGTCTCATATACATAAGTACACAAAGAATCACATCATACATAACAAAAAAATGCAGCAATAGTATGTGCAGATATATGGTGCCCCCCCCCATGTACCTACCCTTTTCCTGCCTTTCCTGCCGTCACCACGTGCCAGGGGGGCCGATTGTTTTTAGGGGCCCTAGGATGTAAGACTCTTTAGTTGCTACTTCAAGCCTACTTGTTTATTAAACCTTTATTCATCTATTCCGTGAATCCAACAATGGAAGATTTTTCGTTTAGCGCTTAATATCTACATCGTCTTCAGGCTGTGTTTCGCTATTACAGGTTCATGCAAGAGTTACAGCCCATCTAGAATCTAAATACTCGCCGGAAACCTCATTAAGGTGCGGTGCCGAGCTCTCTACGCATATGTAAATAACATGTAACAAACAGGACACTTGTAATAAGTCGTTCAATGCTCGCCGAGCATGTGATGTTCACATACAGCCTAGCCAATTTTCCCGTAGTACATGCTTCAGATCTACATGATATTAAAAATGTGTAATAGGTTTGCTAACCCATTATAACTGGAAAACAACTCGTGCATGTACGTACTCTTCAAGTTATGGCAAGGGCATTGCATGATTTCGTCGCTTGTGAACTTGGTGCACGTTTGTGTTTTCTTGTGCTATCTCTTCGCAATGAAATAAGCGCAAGTTACTGTCTACGAACGCATTAGCACTCAACTGCTACGCCATTCCTTCCTGTGTTGCCGCACCGATTAGCTATTCTAACACTTCGTGGGTGTTGTGTGCATGCTGCTTATTTTTTGGCTTGAGCATCATGCAGGGATGAGGCAGAAGAGTATGAAACGTCACACAAATGGATGCATGCTCTCAGAAAGAACAATAAGACACGTGTCGCAAATGCTGGTTGACAGTGAGTCGGTGAGACTTTCGGGAACAGATAGTTGAGACTGAGGCGAAAAGTACAGAAAAACGTTCTTAGTGGCTGAGGCCAGCATCCGTGCACATGAAGTTCTGCCGACACGTCACACACTGGTGGTATAAACACACCAAACAGGTAGGTACATCCGGGGGTGGGGGAAGGAAGTGAAGGTGTATGATATACATATACATATACATATACATATACATATACATATACATATACATATACATATATATATATGTGTATCCGTACATTGACATGTTTCTTCATTCATTCATTCATTCATTCATTCATTCATTCATTCATTATTTCATTCATCTTTTCATTCTTCGTGCATTCATTGTTTATTGCTTTCATTCGCCTATGTATTGAGTTACATATGTGTTTATACCCATTTGGCCGTGTATTATCAAGTCATGTCTTGGTGTTTCGTTCTACGTACCCATGCATGTGCTTGTGTACACCCATGTGTGTATGCACAGACATGAATGCACATTGGCATGTGTCTGCGTGCCTGGTTATATATATATATATACGAAGAGCATGTAACCATCTGGGTTCGTTGGAGACGCAGGCATGAGTCAATGATTTTCGCATTCGCTTGTGTTTCCTTCAGCCCACGGACATGTTGTCCAGCCCTTGTATCAGATCAGAATATGGAGCAACACTCCTAAATTCAAGGCTTAGTTGAATGTCAGCCCCGACTGCTCATTTTCAACCGCAGCCCCAATAGGACCAGCAAACAGCCTTCACAAGCTAAGTGAAAACCCTAATTCAAAACAGGCCTAAGAGAAATAGACCCCAAATACCGAAACTATGCTGCAGGCCGGCCAGACCGAAAGCGGATGGTACACAGCTCAGCTGCTTTG